AGCGGCTGCAGCTCGGCTATTCCAAGAGCTGCAGCAGCGCCAGCTGCTGTGATGAAGGCGCGGCCAGGGTCGCCGGAAAGTACCTGAAAGGGGCTCGGTTTTCTGGGGGTTGAGACGGGAGGAGGGTTTACCCATAGGCTCCGGTATTTAGGATCCAAAAAGTAATCCCAAAAAGGAACTACTAAGGAGCCTATGGGTAGGTTAGTTTTCGGGTTTCTGGGCAGATGCTTCATCGTCTGTAGGCAGATTCTTTGTCAATTTCGTAGAAGCAAAACTGCTTATCTCTTCGTCATCAAGAATCATCATAGCCATGGCAAAAAAGCTCACGCTAAGCGACCTAAAGCTTGTTTAATCATACTGATAAGAACACTGATGATAACAGCCGTCATCACTACAACAATGAGCTTCAAAGCAATAATAACGGATCTATCTGTGTTAAGGGTTACGGGTTAGGGGCTTGGATGGGCCCTAAACCCTAAACCCAAAACCTTAAACCTTTGGCATTCCGATCTCTAGGAGGCATGGGCTTGGGGTCCGGGATTTTGCATGCCGGACCGATGGATACACGGTTGAGGGTCTAGGGTTTAGGGCCTAAGCCCTAAGCCTAAACCCTAAACCTTAAACCCTAAACCCTAAACCCCTAAACCCTAAAATCTAAAACCCCAAACCCTAAACCCTAAGCTCTAAAACCCCAAAACTCTAACCCTAAACCCTAAACCCTAAACCCCTTAGGGTGAATGGGATACACGGTTTGGGGCCTAGGATTTTGAGTCTGTCAGTGGTCTCAGGATCTCGGACGTGGCGTCTAATTGCAAATTGGAGAAGAGCTTTGAGGGGCCAACCGATGTAAACCTCGAGCAGGCGTAGCACATCAAACAACAGAAGCAGAACACTCCAGCATAGCCCACAGTAACAAACTTGGGAAGGGGGGAAGTTAGCTTTCTGTAGTATATGACGCGTGCAATCTGCGGGGCTTCATTGGTAGAGGCGCTAAATCTCGAATCTCGAAAGCCCTCGAGCCGTGCACTGCAAGCCGACTTGCGCAAGGGCAGCGGTACCTACTTCCGGTTTAGGGTTTAGGATCAAAGGATCCGTCCAGGTGCCAAGCAAGAGCCAGTGCACAAGCTCGAGGACACCGCCACGTGGCTTTCGACTGAAGCTGACCTGCGGCTTGGGAACTGGGCTTTGCTCTCTTTGTAGGGCTGTATGTACATTAATCATATGTCATGTGGCAGCTAGCTTTAAGGGTCCTTTGCCGGCCATCTTGGTTTTACAGTTTTGGGTCCTTTCATAATGATAGTGTTAACGGGGCTTGATGGCCTTGAGGGTTATTTAGTATAGCTATAAACATAACGAGGAGGCCTACGGAAAAAAATCTGGTGAGTATCCAACCTTCTATACTACATGGCTAGAACAACGCTCAGGGTTCTTTCGCCGTGCAGCTCTTTCACTTCAGAATTTCTTGGTTGACTTCATGACTGTCCGGGGCACTCTAAACTTTAACCCACACCCATGCAATCCTAAACCCAGAACCCTAAACCGGAAACCCTAAGCCCCAACAACTTGAAAACCTGACCCGAAATTGGGTGAGGGGAGACCCCAAGCCTCGGCCTACAAGCTATACAGCTGTCGTGCGGAGTTTAGAGTTTAGGGTTTAGAGTTTAGGGTTTAGGGGTTTAGGGTTTAGGGGTTTAGGGGTTTAGGGGTTTAGGCTTTAGGGGTTTAGTGTTTAGGGTGTAGGGAACTATACCTAGGATACTGAAGAAGTGAGCAATAGCATGAGGAGCCCCAAAGGCTCCATGTACCCATATAGTATATACTTAGGCCTTAAAGGGGTTCCTATATAGGTGCTTTAGGGTCTAGGTATATACTATATGGGTACATGGAGCCTCAGGGTAATATAGGCACCTCCATCTTAAAGTAGGACTTTGGCGAATGTTATACTATACAAAACTTCTCACAAGGACTATTAAGATTGGCTGCCTATATGCAGAGCCATCATGTTCGGGGCCGTGCAAATTTCAGAAGACCAAATCCCTGGCTAGAGCAGGTAGTTTACACACATATACAACTACTCTCAACTCTCAACAGACTACAGAACAGTAGCTGTGCTACTATGCTGTCGTGTCTAGCAACTGCGTCGGGCTAAACTAGGGTGTTAGTGACAGCTAGCGCATACTGAAACCGAACATGTCCCAACACCGTCGCTGATCCGAAATATCCGAAATCGCTGAACCTGAAACCCACGCCCCTGAAGCTCTGCACCCCAACCCCAACCATAAACCCCGGAACCCATGAACCCCCAATTCCCAATCCCTTAAACCCTCACCCCTCAAGCGCTTTCCCGTCCGAGGTGCCGTAAATGGGACTCCAACATCTTCCCAAAGGCGTCCTTGCCGACGCAAGCCTCAACTGCGCACGCCGGTTTCTTACCTAAAGGCTCTAACCTGAGCATTCATATGTACAGCCTTTGAGCCCAAAGACGATGCCATATAGGGCTTGGGCCGGTCAGGCAGTTGCAGGCAAGCCAACACAAATTAAATTGCCGGAGGCAGGACAGACTGTTACTGGATGATAAAGCAGGTATAGCTACATTAACAAAATTAGTAAAGTACTTGGGGCCCTATTTACAAGGTACACTGAGCCCTATAACACTGTATACCCCAAAATCCGAACAAGACCTCGTAAGAAAGCCTGTAACAACTCGAGCCCATCAACCTTACTTATACTATGCCCGCTGATCCGTTTTAAGTAGGGGGGGCGATCAACCGAAACTATACACCGAAACAGTGGAGCTCATGACCGCCTGCGGTAGGTTCTTGTAACTGGGGGTAGGGTTTGCGTGTTTACTTAGGGGATGAGGGGACTTAGTAAGGTTGTAGGTGCCCTTGTGGAATTACCAACACTTTCAATTATAAATTATTCAGGCTACTACATCGGAGTCCGCAGCAGTGGTTGGGTTTGGGGCACTTGGGAATTGCGCAAACTTAGAGCACCGCAACAGACAGCGGCCCAATACTCGGATCATCTGGGATCCTTAATGCAAAGACCGTAACAAGCCTTAAAGCCCAAATTAGACCAACAGCCTTACGTAGCCTGGTCTTCGGGCACCATCTCCTTCCAAACAGAAGTCCTCTGAGCACCTCAACACGCAACCCTTAAAACCTTAGCCCCTTCACAAAGGATCAGGCAACTCAGGAAGTAGCGAGAGAAGTCTGAAATGGTTGTGGCAGTTATTATACTACAAGTACATTTGAGGATGCCTAGCAATCATAGCACGACTTGTTTTACAAAGTGTGCTACGGAAGAACACAAACTTGCACACCTTTTGCGATGGAGCCGAATACGGGGGCCGCTATGTTCAGGCTCATGTATTTAGCGCTGGTGCCTCCGGGAAGGCAAGACGTGCCGATTGCAAATGTTATCTTGTCTGCTTAATATGTCTGTGTAACTTGAGGGCTGAGGTGTTTTCAAAGTTGAAGTGGTCTCGGGTTCGGGTTGAACACCCAAAGTCAAGGGATGCGACATGAAGCCGGGCTGCATAGAATGACACAGGGCAGCGCCCCCGCAAGAGAGAGGCCAGGTGCACGGCCGTGTTGAGCGCGCTCCCGCCTGCACAGCTTCAGGCGGAGGTCCAGCGTTTAGGGTCGTGGGTTTAGCATGCGTTATAGTGTTCGGGCTTCTAGAGTTGTGGGATTGATTTTGATGCTTTGGGATTCCAAGCTTCGGGGCCTAAGCCTACTGGGCTTACGGTCCTTCGTGTTTCCCCCGCCTATCTTCACGTCGATGCTGGCGGCATCTGCGTCACCATCCCAGGATGGTATTCGGGCAAGGCCACTGGCGATGACGTCAACGAGCGCATCGCCAACGACGTGGAACTCTGGTACAGCCATGGCTCGAAACCGTGCGATGCGGTGGCCTTAACAACCGCCTGTGAGAGCGTCTCAAAACCCCGCTCCTGAGTGGAGCTTAGGCTTTAGGCTTTTGCCCAGGCAAGAGTTTGAAGGGGTTCCTTAAAGACTGCGCTAGAGCCTAGGATTGACGGCGGTAATTTGCAAGAGTTTGTAAGCAACACAGTTAGGGTTTAGGCTTTATAGGCTTATAGGGTTTAGGGCTTATAGGGTTTAGGGTTTAGGGTTTACTCCTGTGCCTCAAGCATAAACTTAAACAACTGTCTTCACAGAATGGGGCAGTCACAACCTTCAAAGGAACATCTTCCAGAGACGAAATGAACGTTTCAAGCTGAAGCTGTGCCAGAGCAGTGCAGGGGTTAGGGCTCTACTAAACCCTAAACCCGAAACCCCTAAACCCTAAACCCTAAACACTTAAACCCCTACACCCTAAACCCCAAACCCTAAACCCTAAACCCCTAAACCCTATAAACCCCTAAACCCCTAAACCCTAAACCCCAAAACCCTAAACCCTGAACCCCTGTGGAGCTTCGGGCTTATCAGTCGGAAGGTTCGAGGCTTCGCAGATCACAGGGTTGGAAAGATGAGCCACTGCCGCTTAGGGTTTAGGGTTTAGGGTGGTGCTACACAGCCAAGCCCCTCAAACATGCACCTCAAAGTCGGGGGGTCGGGGGCCGTGGTGTGTCTTTAAGCCGAAAGAGCAGTGCTATGATAGGACGCAATTCAGGTGTTGAGCTCTTGGGCGATTCTGAGGCTCAGTGAGAACATCCACTTCAAGCACTAAACCCTAAACCGTCATGGGCCCATGGGCAATCGGGACCCCTGAGCCCCAAAACAGCCAAGGAAAGAGGCTGAGCCGCTTTCGGGGCCTCAGGGCTTTTGAGCCCGGCTGCGGTGTTGGGACAGAGACTCCCCATGCGTTATAACTGTTATAACCCTTAGAGACTTGAACCGGGTGCCTTAGGGTTTAGGGTTTAGGGTAACCGGGTGTCTGTGAAGCAGGTCCTCGTCTCAAGCCACAAGCCTTTTTTGACCCCTGGCAGCAGTACCCCAAACCTGCCTGCTGGATAAACACTAGCACAAAACATCTTAGCTGGAACATCTATCTCGTACCCATGGTACATGCACCCCAATGACATCAAAATGCCAACCCCCGCTCTAGACCGCAAACCCGTCAAATACACTTACAGACAACACTGCTAAGCTTGTTTGAAGGCAAAAGCAAAAATCTTAAAACTCCTTCCCACTCCTAGTATCAAAGCTCAAACCCTCAGACAGTTAAGGAAGTCCCGAATACTCTTACCGGATTGCTGGAGAGGTCTTGTTGATGTGTAGCTGCAGGGTGGCAGGGCTTGGGCAAGATTTTGGCCTTGTCAGTCTCAGACTTCAGGGGTTTGGTGCATTTCTTGTTTGCAGAATAGCTTGATGATTTGAAGCCGGGCTCCCAGCGGGTCCGTAATCCCGCGGTCCTGCGCTGGCTTTGAAAGGCTGTCGCAGGGGTTGGTACTGCTGATGATATAGATCCTGGATTACCTTAAGGACCCTAATCTATGGGAACTGTGGTATATTCCTTCTTATGGGTAATGCAGGATTTATATCAGCAACCGTGTTTCCCGAATGAAATATCTTGGAGACTGCTGCTCCGCCCAGAGCATAGGGGCCTGAATGATCAACATGGCGTTCTGGGGCATACTCTATGAGAATATTAAAAAAACCTTCAAGAATAGTCTTGATAAGTATTCAGGTGGATTTGGACCCCGTAAGCGTCGATGTCTAGCGAACGGCCCTATATAGGAGGTAGGATTAGGGGGACCCTTGGACCCTCTCAGTCAGGTCCCTCTTAAGAGAGCCATAAGTGGTGTTCAGAAGGATCCCCTTTAAGGGGTCTGCCCAATAGCCTAAGGATCCAAAGGACCTAATAATTGGGATAGTAGTTTTGTAGGTTAGTATTTGGGAGAGTATATGATTATTAGGTACTTGGACCCTTAGGGATACTACCTAGGACTATACGGGTCTACTGTCTGTGAACCATTCCTACTCACTCCTCAGCCCCGAGCTGAAGGTGTAGGGTTTGGGGCTTAGGGTTTAGGAGTTTAGGGTTTAGGGGTTAGGTTTTGGG